TCAGGGGAATGTTTCTGCTCATGGGGCAGAGAAATGCGTTTATCCTGTGAGATCAGCATGGGCCGAGCACGAGTGACCAAAGGCACCCGTGCTGGGCCTTCCTGCTGAGGTGGTCACGGTGAGGGGCGGCCTGTGGCAACCCAGGAAGGGCACACCCCTCTAAGGGAACGCCAGCTGTGACATCAGAAATCTGGATTTGTGGGTGAGATCTCCTGAGTTTTCAATGTTGGCTCCGTTTTTTCAACATCATTGTGGCAGCATGTGATGGCTCACGCCTGTAATCCCAGCACTTTGGGAGGCCGAGGTAGGCATATCGCTTGAGCCCAGGAACTTGAGACTAGCCTGGACAACTTGGTGGACCTTGTCTCTACAAAAAAAAAATTTAATAATTAGCTGGGCATAGTGGTGCATACCTATAGTCCCAGCTACTTGGGAGGCTGAGGCAGAAGGATTGACTGAGCCCAGGAGGTCAAGACTATAGTAGCCCTGATTGTGCCACTGCACTCCAGTCTGGGCAACAGAGTGAGACCCTAACTCAAACAAAACAAAACAAAAAACGATCACTGTCCCCTATCCCACCTGCAAAAAATCACCCACAGTCTGCAGCCTCTGACCAGGACTGTCAGGGCCATTTCCTCCCTGCAGGCCAAGCTTGCCATGCCGGAGCCAGCCTTGGATCGCTCGGTGACAGCCACCTTTCTGCACATGTTTCCTATAGCCGGTGGGCCTGAGTCCCAAATCCCCTCATTTTTAAACCCACTCAGTTTATCTTTCTCTCTGAAAGCCCTGAGCTGGGTACACCAGCTTAGCCTTGTCTTCCCACTCTGCCCAGCTCACCAAAGGGGACAGTCCCTCCTGCCACGCAGGCCATGTGCGTCCACCTGTGTGTTCCTGCCTCCAGTCCCAGCCTTCCTGGGACCAAGACATCCAGGAAAACGAGGGTTTGAACTCTAAACGTGAGATAACCCTCCCGAGAAGGCACGATGTGCCGAGGGCCACACATAGGAGCTGGGTTCTGGCCCACAGGCTGGGCCTCCAGCATCCGTCCAGGTGGGGCTCAGTCCCCGACACGCCTGCCCTTGGCTGGTCCCTGGGAAAACCTCAACTGTGCTTCACGGCCCTTTCTACCCCCACTCCTTGCCATCCCCTGCCAAAATCCCTACAGATGAACCTCCTTTTTCAGCCCAGCTTTCTGCTTTATTTGACAACTTACCACTTTTTTTCCTTCTCTTTTTTTGGCTCTGCCCTTGTCCTGCCTCGCCCCCGCCTGCAAGCCCAGGCCCCACGCCTTGCCAGGACCTCCCCTC